GCCTGATTGTTCGCCTCTTTGTTTGTTCGTTTGTTTGTTTGTTTGCTTGATTGATTGATTGATTGATTGATTGATTGATTGATTGATTGATTGATTGATTGATTGATTGATTGATTGATTGATTGATTGATTGATTGATTGATTGATTGATTGATTGATTGATTGATTGATTGATTGATTGATTGATTGATTGATTGATTGATTGATTGATTGATTGATTGATTGATTGATTGATTGATTGATTGATTGATGACATCCTACCAATTTTAAACTGTACACAGCTCACACTGATTTCGCAACCATCAACAAATCCAATGGTCACACAAAAGACACAGTCTCGTTATCGATTCTCCGTTTCACACGGTCTGGTGAAACATAGATCACTCGTATGCGAGTGACTAGACGATGTGAGGAGATTTCACACTGATTCATCTTCAGAGCCACAGAGGCATAACGTACCTCCTACATACTACACGAGGAAACATTGATTTTCAACTCGCTTCCACACGCTCAACCAACCGGTTTCTAGAGCTCTTCGTTCCTTCAATTCGTCCATTTCCTGACACACACACACACACACATAAATATGATTGAGAGGAAATCGTTCCACTCGTCCATTCGACATCAAGTACCTACATAAACTAAATTCCTGTACAATTTGAAGCTTCCGTTCCACAGTTTTAGTGCCGATGAAACCAATCATGTCGAGTTGGTAGAACAAACACTCACATCAACTAGCATGAATAGATCAGTGTCACGAACCTGTCATTCATCACATCTCATGACAGGTAGATCAAGCTGTTTGTTGTCACTAAGCTGTTTGTTGTCCACAACGTAATGAAGGACGGCCACACAATTTCGGCCAAAACAAATAAGACAAGAACAAATACAATTTAACCAATGTGCCATCCATAATTCAACACTGAAAATTGTCACCACCATTTCAACACACAATATTGTCGTAAATCAATGAATTTATTGATCTATTATTTTAGATAAGATATTTCAATGTGATGGTCGTTCAACATCAAATACAATACACAACTTCCCCTTATCCATATAACCATCATCACATGTGCATATGATCACATGATAAATACACTTAACCAGAATGCAAAATTATTATTATTATTATTATTATTATTATTATTGTGAAGAAGCAAATGAAAACAAACAACACACACCCAGTAATATCAACTAGCCACAAATAAATTGCAAATAATCCAATCACACCATCATCATCAGCGTCAACAAATAGTTACATAATTTACGTTTGCACAATGTGATCAATAAATAATGATTTAGAATATCTGAAATCTATTTAAAAATCAGTGTGACAAGTACACATTATCCTACAACTAACTGGAGACCAATATTTGTGGGATGAAATTTATTTCCTGAATGTCAAATCTTATCACAATCTAAATAATAATCAACAAACGTATAACTGACAGCTTTATTGAAGCAATCCATGTAGGATATAGATTTCTAAGCAGAAAATCCATTAACCTTATTCTGAACTCCAACAATGGAAATCTACGAACTTTTATTAATTATCTAAACTTACTTGCTTACGCCTATTACTCCTCGTGGAGAAGCATAGGCTGCCCACCAGCACACTTCATCCCACCCAGTCCTGGACAAATTATTCAAACATGCTAGACAATTTCCAACAGATTACGCTTCATCATTCGAACTGATTTCATCGATATTTTGTAACAAACCACACACATATACGGGTTTTATATTGATAATCGAGAATCACTACACATTCTATGAGCTGAAAAATAACATGTTTCCAGGCATTAGTGTTAAACAACTCTTCTATTCATAAATAACGGGCTCAACAATCTTGACAAAAAGGTTTTGAAAAAGATTTACTGAAACAAACAAACCTTAATTAAGAATATTTATCATAAATAAATCTGATTTCATCACTTTAAAGCACGTTATGTAATAAACCGAAAATTTCCACACGTCATTTAGTTACAAAACATTACACGTTCAAATTTGAGAGATTTTAATTGTTATACATCAGTGAATGATGGAAAACTCTTCGAAATGTAAAACCATCAATTTTTATTTTAAATGAACCGACTTTGTGCAAGTATTTCGTGTAAACCATAGTAGGCAATCTATTCATATGAGGATATATATGATCAGTCTGCATTTATTTCAAGATGTTCTAGCATTTGATATTTCAATGATTACAATCAATAAGTGGGGTGGATGGACAAACACAAAACTACACACGGTTTCTATTGAACGTACATTGTGTTACTTGGATATTGTCAGGTGTCTATGTTGAATGAATAGTTGTATCAGTAGTGGTATGTTATTTGGATCATATGAACTGAACCATCTGAGATCACAAATATGATTTAAGTTCATGGTTTATCGACTAGTGTATAAATGAATTCGGATGTGACTGTTGTGTCTCATCAATTCAAATAATATGATATTACTATTATTACGCCTTCCACTAGTACTCGCACTACTTCTACGACCACAAATAGGCACACTACTACCACTACTTCTACCGGAGTCATTATTCTCTCTGCATATAACTTACTCTTCAAAAAATGTGTTTTCTGATTTGCAAGAACGAAGAATGACACCATAATTGTCTATGCAACAACGCCACAATGATTGTTAGTTAGTGATGATACACTCAAAACAGTGAAGCAAATAGAATTTGAAAATGAATTTTACTCAGTCTAGAAACACACTAATATGATCGAAGTAAATAGTCTTTCAGTATCACACAATACGTTCACAGTTGTCGTGAATCACTTCTGACACTCAGTAAGATTGTAGACAACTGTGGATGAATTGTCATCTCCACACTCACATGTCAGTTGATGATTGTCTCACATGTTCACTGTAACCAAAGTCACTGTCGATATCACTTGACAGTGAATACCAGTTAGTCTACAACACACATCGTCTGAATTCCATATTGTGACATCCATTCAATAAATGCATCAAAAAATCTATTGATATCAGTTTGTTGTTTGCATATCACTAGAACTGTTCACCAAACGTAAGAATGTATTGATCCCCACACTTTAATGATTGTGGTTTCAGAAGATGACGCATTCTGGTAATTAATGACGCTGTGTGTATTGTGGCACACAAATCACCTGATCTATTGCGAGTGTACTCTATTTGAGTAAATAGATCATGATGAAAGGACAAGATCGTGGATGAATGTGTTTGTAGCATACTAGATTTGTGGTAATGAGAAAGGTAATATACAACGGAATTACGGTTTCATGCAACATCACACATATGTCATTTTAACTTCCACTTATTCAAACATGTGATATTGTATAACCTACTCATTACATCCAGTCATATTTACTCCTTGTCAGATGACGAGAAGTGAGTTGTAGAATTTCGAATCTGCTTTATTGAAAATAGTTACTTAGTTACTAACGCTTGTTACCCCACGTGGAGGAGCGTAGGCTTCTCATCAACACTCTCTATCCAACCCTTTTCTGAGCAATCCTTTCCAATTCATTCCACTTGCTGTTTCAGCTTTTCATATCTGCTTCCGATTCTCGGCATTGTGTGCTTTTCGGCCATCCTATTCTCTATCTCCCTTCATGATTCTGTGTTAGGGTTTGCCTCGTGATGCAGTTTGATGACTTGTTCAACGTCTGTCCTATCCACTTGCAACAGCTTTTCCTAATTTCCTGCTCAGCTGGAAGCTGATTTGTTCTCTCCCACAGTGGGCTGTTGCTGATGGTATCGGGTCAACGGACATCCCGTATCTTGCGTAGATAACTGATTATAAATGCTTGTATCTCTTTGATGATGGTTTAAGTGGTTGTCCATGTTTCAGCTCCGTACATTAAAACTAACTGTCTTGACATTCGTATTGAAGACTGTGACATAGATATTGGTTGACAGTTGTCTTAAGTTCCATATATTCTTCAATTGTATGAATGCAGCTCTTGCTTTGACATTCTTCGTACTTGAGTCTGCATCGGATCCTCCTTGTTCATCGATGATGCTTCCCAGCTGCGGGTAATATTGGAACATCTTCCAGAGCATCTCCATCAAATGTGCCTGGGTTGGTGTTCTCGGTGTTTTATTTGAGAATGTTGCTTTTTCGCTTGTGTATCTTGAGGCCCACTAATATAGAGGCTGTTGCTACACTAGTTATCTTCATCTGCATTTATTCGTGTGCATGGGACAGAGGGATTAGCTCACCTGCAAAGTCCAAATCTTCTAGTTGAAAACATAAACGTTTATTCAAATGAACAAATACTGTGATATTATTTGCACACTAACCGACAGAAAATGTGAAGTTTTCTCATCGATTGGAAATCTATTGAACAGTCGAATTGTATTCGTGTTTAATGTATATGTATTTGTGATTATTTATGATTTTCATAATCAACACTTTCGTAATATTCTTATCAATAGTGGTCGTTGTTTTCGTTGACGATGATGATGATGATGGTGTGATTGGATTATTTGCAATTTATTTGTGGCTAGTTGATATTACTGGGTGTGTGTTGTTTGTTTTCATTTGCTTCTTCACAATAATAATAATAATAATAATAATAATAATAATTTTGCATTCTGGTTAAGTGTATTTATCATGTGATCATATGCACATGTGATGATGGTTATATGGATAAGGGGAAGTTGTGTATTGTATTTGATGTTGAACGACCATCACATTGAAATATCTTATCTAAAATAATAGATCAATAAATTCATTGATTTACGACAATATTGTGTGTTGAAATGGTGGTGACAATTTTCAGTGTTGAATTATGGATGGCACATTGGTTAAATTGTATTTGTTCTTGTCTTATTTGTTTTGGCCGAAATTGTGTGGCCGTCCTTCATTACGTTGTGGACAACAAACAGCTTAGTGACAACAAACAGCTTGATCTACCTGTCATGAGATGTGATGAATGACAGGTTCGTGACACTGATCTATTCATGCTAGTTGATGTGAGTGTTTGTTCTACCAACTCGACATGATTGGTTTCATCGGCACTAAAACTGTGGAACGGAAGCTTCAAATTGTACAGGAATTTAGTTTATGTAGGTACTTGATGTCGAATGGACGAGTGGAACGATTTCCTCTCAATCATATTTATGTGTGTGTGTGTGTGTGTCAGGAAATGGACGAATTGAAGGAACGAAGAGCTCTAGAAACCGGTTGGTTGAGCGTGTGGAAGCGAGTTGAAAATCAATGTTTCCTCGTGTAGTATGTAGGAGGTACGTTATGCCTCTGTGGCTCTGAAGATGAATCAGTGTGAAATCTCCTCACATCGTCTAGTCACTCGCATACGAGTGATCTATGTTTCACCAGACCGTGTGAAACGGAGAATCGATAACGAGACTGTGTCTTTTGTGTGACCATTGGATTTGTTGATGGTTGCGAAATCAGTGTGAGCTGTGTACAGTTTAAAATTGGTAGGATGTCATCAATCAATCAATCAATCAATCAATCAATCAATCAATCAATCAATCAATCAATCAATCAATCAATCAATCAATCAATCAATCAATCAATCAATCAATCAATCAATCAAATCAATCAATCAATCAATCAATCAATCAATCAATCAATCAATCCATCAATCAATCAAATCAATCAATCAATCAATCAATCAATCAATCAATCAAATCAATCATTCAATCAATCATTCAATCAATCAATCAATAAATCAATCAATCAATCATTCCATCAATCAATCAATCATCAATCAATCAATCAATCAATCAATCAATCAATCAATCAATCAATCAATCAATCAACAAACAAACGAACAAACAAAGAAGCGAACAATCAGGCGGACAAGTAAACAAACAACCAAACCAATCGGACAATCCACATGGATTTCCCGAATTGTTTATCGGAATCTACAATGAAAATGTCTTGACGGAATCTCACGTGAAAATCTAACTAAACCGAATCACAGAGAATGTGTTTAGTTTAAGGTGATATATGGTCACGTATATTTGTGTTGTACAGATATACGGAATTCCTATCAAGTAATTTACTTCTTAAATTTTACAGTGTTAACTATGATGTTACGAATATTTTTTTATTGTCTTCACTCCATCATTCTTACTCTAAACGTTTCTCTAATCCGGTTTTCGTTTCTAACCTACTGGTTTGAAATATTTTATTTGTTTGTGATTGATGCAACTATGCGGTGATCGTTGCAACCACATCGTGAGCTGATTTGAGACTACTTGTGAATATCTGGTTTGTGGAATACTCTAAGAAGCTGTATTTCGAATGTGTTTGATGTTGACTGAGAGAAGTGTGGAAGTGGCATCAATTGATCAAAGCCTTGTGATACACACTCAACAGATTGTGAGTAGTGAGTTGTCAAACCACTGAATGAATTGTCAATATTTCTTCTCGATTTCTCAACCACGTGTCATTCTCATTTGGTTCTTTTCTATGTTAACGTTTTGCAATTGACCTTTAATCAGGCAAATCATGATTGCACTCACACTTTGTGACACAATCATTTAATTGTGTTTCAGTTCAAAAATATGATGCACCCGTTGCGTCATAATCACTGAATATGAAATCCATTTGTCACGTGTATGCAAGCATAGCGTGTTTGGAATTGTTGATTCTAATGTAAGCTGATCAACCAGGGGCTACGTGTGTTACAATAGATATGAAAAAATATGCTGTCATGTGATTGATATTTAATTCAGTAGTATCAACCCAATGGACTGACAGTGAAAATTAGAACCAATTATGTTCAAGGTTATTGTGTTTCTCGAATTGTATATAAGCATGAAAACCTGATTTAAGAGACATACAAATCACTGTCAGCTTGGTAATCACTGATCATGGTATTGTTGCCCAATAAACCTGCACCAGAATTCAAAGGAAATGCTGTGGTTAATGGTGAATTCAAAGAGATCAGTTTGAAGGATTATCGAGGAAAATATGTTGTATTATTCTTCTATCCAGCTGATTTGTAAGTAGTAATTGTGTATATTTGTTGTGTAGTTATTGTATAGTGTTTGATTGCATATATTGATTCACCCACTCTATTCTAACCGATTACGTCTTCTGATTGGCCGAACTTGTTATACTGGTTGAATGAATGTGTATTTGTTGTAACCGTCTGTCCTAATTATGCGCTGGACGTGTGTATGAAATTTGAGACTTATTGAAGTTGTTAGATAGTGTAAGGTAATTTCTTGTAGAGGTCAGACGATATGTTGATCCCCTGATTTCTGACGACATTTTCGGGTGTGATAAACGCGAATTCTTATTGGAGTTTATTTGTGTTTGATTCGACTTTGCAATGTATGTGGATATCTGGAATGAATGATTAAGTCGTGCTCACCGAATACTAGTATCTGTTCTTATATGGTTCCATCTGTGTGGGTTCACTCATCGGGAATACTTGAACCGTGTTGTGACCAATCATTCATCCGGCCCCACATATCTGAGTGGTAATAGTGAATACCACGTGACGAGTACATTTATACTGTTCTCATTGTGGATTGAGATGAAATGTCTAGGAAATTGTTCATGATGCACACTGGTAATCTCCATTTTGACTCCAGTTTATTCATGCCAACGAGATTCTGACAGTCGATGTTGATCACATTACTGTATTGAATGCCTAAGTAATTGCCTCCTTCAGACGTCCTAGAAAATGCGTGTAACCTTATTTCACAAAATGCAGTATTATGCTGCAACGAATAGTTAGACAGCAGTGTGAAATTCGGTTCACCGATGATGCACAGATTTATCGTTCGCTTGATAATTATGATGAGGATTAATTCAATATGGCTGAACTGACACTTGTGTGGCTAACTATCGGAGTGACTATCTGACTGACTGGTTGGCTGACATGCTTTCTTGATACATGTCGAATTACATAGTCAAGTTGCTCACTGCTCGACTAATATGCCTAATGTGAATGCATGGAATTACATGTAGTTTCATCATTCCACTGACTCTCCTCCTCATAATTCTTTCACAGCACATTCGTGTGTCCCACTGAAATCATCGCGTTCAGTGACCAGGTGGAGGAGTTCAACAGTCGAAATTGTCAAGTGATCGCCTGTTCTACAGATTCTCAATACAGCCATCTTGCATGGAACAATTTGGATCGTAAATCGGGTGGATTGGGTCAGATGAAAATTCCTCTGTTGGCCGACCGCACACAGGAGATCTCCAGAGCATATGGTGTATTAGATGAGGAGGATGGCAATGCATTCAGGTGAGTGGTGTGTTCGTATTCGTGTGATCTGTTGTCTGAGATTTGCTGCGATTTCGATAATCCGTGTTGAGAATCAGACTGATAGACGTGTGGAACGAATCGTGTTTAGTTTCCAGTTTGGAGTAGGAGATTGAAATAATTGTGCGAGGATGCAAGAATCTTCTTGAAACAATGTTTCAGTTTTGTATTGTACTGGTTTCTCAGTGTCTTTCCTTGTGTGTAGTCAACGCTATATTAAGTTCTCTGACACGTTCCACTGTTCTACTTTTGACTGTGTTCTGACATAAAGTTCACCCGTTGACAGTTAAATGTTTGCTGAACCAAATTCTCACTCCATCCGTATTCTTGAATAGAAAATCAATGAATGTGTTATTAGATTGAACAGAGCACAAATTGTATTTGGGGCATCACAGAATCTGTGGTTCTCCATGAAATTTCTGACCATTAGAACCCAGTGTTCGTAAAGACAACCGAATCTCAACACTTGACTGAACTACCTATTGCATTGAGAGTATTGGTAATCGACTTTCACTTGAACTTATCATCTCCTATACTATGTCTTCCTTTTTAGAGGTTTATTCATCATTGATCCGAAGGGAATTCTACGTCAAATCACGATCAATGACAAGCCAGTTGGACGATCTGTAGATGAAACATTACGACTACTGGACGCGTTCCAATTTGTGGAGAAGCATGGTGAAGTGTGTCCAGTGAACTGGAAACGTGGTGATCATGGGATCAAAGTTAATAAGAAATAGACTTTGCATCATTTTTCATTGATCACTATATTCATGTTGCGTGACTAGATATCTGTGTGCTGTTCTACACATGAATTTGTAAAGTGTTAAATTAATTTCCATATAAATAACACCTTCCATTCATTTCGATATATTCTCATGTTCATTTGAGTGTTCACTGTGAACTACAGTGTACTTCATTTTAATAATGTGTGTGTGTCGGACCGGTCGAAGAGATTGCGAATACTATGATGTGGTTGTATTGTCAGAATGACCCGATTGTGTGTGATTTCACTTTGTCAAGTTAATTTAACACAATGATGTAGGTCGCTCGTTTGATGCGAATTCAGGTGACGAGTTTTCGTGTTCCACGTATGAGGAGGAGGCGGATTGTGTGGTGTAAACATCAACTGACTGCACTCACACAGGACTATGTGAAACGGTGTTGGAACTGATGGTCTAATTTGTTGATATTGAAATCGTGAGAGAACATGTTGTTGTTGTTTTATTATCCGTGAATATCGTTGTGTTGACGTCTGTAGTGGTGAATAACCGTTGTAAAACTTTATTAGAAATAAATGACACTGAAGATGTCGATGAACAGGAGATGCGTTTGAAGTCACCAATTCGACTTTGTGTGTGAATGCGCATCATACCTTCAATGTAAGTTCAATTAGCATTAACTTGTTGCTGTTCGAAATGAAGTAGGCGGAAATGTGTTTCGACCTACAACGCTTCGCTTCCAATCATTTAAGTCAGTCGCCTCACTTTGCGTGCAAACTGAATAGAATAGGACAATGTGTAACTACTGAACAGTGTATATTACTGATTACATGAGCGATCTGCTTCGGTCTGGGCACATGGGCAATATCACAGCCCTCACACAAATCTCATTTGATTTGTGTGGCGCATATGTATCTAGTGCCCCATTGTACCAGTGGTTATGTGTTCAATTAAATAAATAAAACATGATCGATAATTTTGACGTGCATTAACAAACATTTGACTGATAAAAATAGTAAGAATATTATTAGAAACTCAAGCATTATTCATTGTTATTGTAAGTCAAGTTGTTGATCACAGTAGTTAGACGAGCCTATGTTGTTGACAATGATGTAAATCAGACGTCATATAATGTGATGATGTTGTAATGTTTTGCATTCCAGTTAAAACAAACTACGTATATTGATCACGACGGAATGACGTCATGTGATTGTTTAGTTGCTTTTGTTGCTTCATTAGAACAACATTGTTAACCACTGCCAGTTGATCGTTGTCAGGTGACTGATTGAGTCTTCGAATTTCCATCGATTTCCTGAAACTATCAATATTGGTGTTGAGAAATATACGAAAACTTAGGCGTAACATAGTCAGTGGTTTATCGCATTTCAATTCACAACAAGTGAGACTGATGGTTACATGTCCAATCTATTTGTCGGAGAGTGATCGACAAAATTTAAAATCATCACTCATCAACTTTCTGATGTTGAATTTTAATCATTTCTAATTTGTGTCAATTATTTCCTATATGAGAGTGTGTTTTACTGTGAGATGAGATTTAATGTTGTTAACGAGTTATTTTGCATCTTGATGTCTGTTTCGTTGGGAGCATTGAGTCAACAGTTGAGTTTCTGTGAATAGCTGTCACTTGATCACACTCATCACACCAACCGAGTCAGTTGATCAAGCAATCTGCAGAAACACACTTTCACTTGGTTGTAAGAGACCACTTCTGAATGACCTGTTTAACTTTACATGCAAGTCATTATTTCTCAGTATGATTTTGCTGGTTTCTCAGTCAGAGTTGTATTGATGATATTCACTTATGTAAGATTCTATGGACATGCATTCAGTGCCTTCATTTTTCTAATACCCTGTATTAAATATTATGGTAACCAAATGAATTCAAAGAAAGTCACAATCTCGACTTCACTCCTCCCGTAATGACAGGTTGAAATGAGGGAGCGATGGAGAATATGCAACTCGATACAGAACAAACAGTAACATTATCTCATTATTGTGGCCATCGTAAATCAGTGATCCACCAAACGACGAATTGTGATGTGCATCGTATGGTGTGCGAACTACTGTGTGTTGTCAGACAGATTTCACCTTGTGACGAATGGAAAACAAGTCACCATTAGTGCAGACTATCACAGTATCAAAGAATGATGTTGAACTTGACCATCGATTGAACAGTGTTTGGGCGATCCAACATTGACTACTAGGTTGTGTCGATCAGCCTTTGAACATTGTAGATCACCAACGTAGATTATCTATCTCGAATGATTTGAGGTTCACCCGAGTTCGACGGAAATTGTGTGACGAACAAGCTAACTTCGAAATCACACCTCGCGGAGAGCATCTAACGTGGATTACCCCCACGATGTATCAAAGTACCATGGCTGTTTTGAAGACCTTATAACACAAAGGACGTTATTATGAAGATGTATGAGTAAGAATGTGTACAGATAAGAAAGCGAGATCGCCACTGCATGAGCCAGTTCATGGTATACGATTAACTGATGCGCGTTGGTTTTCCTTGTCCTTGACCGGGATCGATGATCTGTTCGATATTCAGTGATGCAACAGCCGGATGATTTGTCTAGGGCTCAGTGACATTTTACTTTCCACTCCAAATATCACCACTCAATTTCGTACACGTTTTCAAATCTTCTTTTAAGTATCAGCAACTTAATCGTTTACTGGATATTCTCCAAATCCAATCGTGACTGAAATAACACACACATTGATTTGCAAAATCGAGCCATTCATCAGTATCGGAAGGATGTGTTTACTTTGCTAATTGTACTCAAGCCTAATCTGATGTACATGGTCATCTGTTGCCTATAGATGTTTTGCAGTTAATAATCGTTTCTAGATGTCGTTACAACACATCACAACCGTACCACAAAAGATGTATTATATGTGTAATAATTTCAGTGACAAAACCTCAGGATTTGCAACATTTTATCCTGGAATCTACTCCTTCCTCGCCTACGCTTTCGGTCTCTGGATTACTTAGTTCTGACCTCAATTAGAAGCGTTCTTATTAGCATAGTGTTTTGGAGACTTTTGTGTATCAATTAAGATGTATTGACACCCTTATATGCTCAATAGTGACTAGCGTCGAGAGTTCTAGTGAGAAGCAATGACCAGTCGAGTTCAACTGTGTCGGGTGTGGATGGTGGTCATAAAATATCGTGGATTGTTTGAAGTTAGACAATAACACAGTTGAATGCCAGCTCCGTGATCCAGATGTTAAGCGTTCGCACGCCTAACCGAAGGTCCTGAGTTCGGATCCCGTGTGCGGGATTGTGAATGCGCGCTTCTGAAGTGTTATACTAGGCCGAATCGGCCGTCCAATGCTTTCATGTTTTCAATGGTTGTTTAATCTTGATCGGTTCATGATCATAATTAAAATCGTTCTTGTTAATTTACATATATTGTAGTGCGTAGCACGTCACATTTGGTTAGACTTATTTCAATTTGAGAAATAGAGAACGTCAATATAGGTTAATCTACAATTGATTTTATAATTATCGGGTCAACTCAAATGGTCACGTGTTAGCAATCAGACGTGTTTATGAATTAGACCATTGTGTTTTTCGTATTTATATGAATGTGTACACCATTAGCAAATTATTGATCGGCTGAGTTTGATGTCAATAAGAGGATAGATGAAAGATTGATAACAGACAAGCACATCATCACACGCTACGTCTGTTGACATAAATAATATACACCACAACATTGTCCTACTGAAGTGATTTACTCATAAGTTTAAACACATGTGATAACTGTTATTAGTTCAAATGATGCTCTAAAATTATTCATGGCAATAGTTAAACGAAAAATAATTTTCTCCTTTTGAATTAAAATTTTTATTAGCATTCATGTGCAGTTAATTGTCATTAGACACTTGTGTTCATCAACAAGAAGGGAAGCGGAGAAGAGGAAGGCTGAAGAAAACACTACGTCGGGAAATGGTATCAGATATGAAAAGGATGAATAACAAGTGAAAACAACCGGAAAGGAATGCCCATGATACGGTTGGATGTAGAATGCTGATGGGTGGCCTAAACTCCACCAAGGGGCGTAGCAGATGTAAGTAAGTGAGCAAACTGAGTGATATAGTCTCTTCATAGGTTAAGAAATTACATGTACAAGAATTTTACCAATTTTTTCTTATCAAAGTAATCAGCATAACGAAACAAATTACGTTTTATTTTTACGTAGTTACTAAGAAAATTGATTCCACTTTTTTCTCAATGTCTATTGATAACCCGTTGTATCATATGGTGCTCGGATAGAGTTGATATAACCCACTTTTTCTTAAACTACAGTTTTATATTACACGACAATGAGACTGTCCTACAGTATTTTATCATTTAAATTAAGCTCAAAAATATGAATGCAGATTTCGATATCCAGTCAAAGTATATTATAGTACATGGATTTCAATTAATCACAAGGGTCGCTCAATATCGTGGATTGGTTGAAGTGGGACATTAACATTTTTGGATACTGACTTAGTGGTCTAGAGGTCAAGTTTACGCTTCCGAGCGTGATTTCTTAGCTTGAAATCGGGCAAACCGACAACACCTAACATTAAATTTGCGTTGCGTAGCATGTGGTGTATGAGTTTAAGGTAAAATTTGGGAATAAGACTATATCTTCTTTGCCAATGGCCCTCAAGTTCTAATGTGCCACATAATGTAAGGCAACTGTTATCATAATCATCACCTAATGTCTTTTTTGTGAAGTTGTGGTGCTATTAGTTTCTAAACAAAATATTCTTGAGGCTCAATACGTAATTGCTGAAAAGATCGACATACAACACAGAAGACTTGGAGGAGGGCGGTGATGGTGAACGTGGTAACAAATAAATTTGAGTGGCATATCTCGGTCATGCAGGCGTGGTCACACAACCTCTTGTCCGCTGTATCAGATAGATTGCCCTCTTCCCATCTCAAATGTGTTCTTCAGAAATGCTAGACCTTATACTGCTGATTATCACG